CCCGCCCCGCTCCGAGGGGCGGTGCGAGCCGCCCCCGCCCCTTCCCTGCCCTGCCCTGCCCTCCCCTCCCCGGGACAGCTCCGTGCACCAGCCGCCTCTGCCTGCAGCCCGCGCCTCCCCAGCAGGTGTGCGTGTGCGTGTGCGTGTGCGGCACGGGACCCTCCTGCCCGCCGCACAGGGGGCAGCACCTTGCACCTGCAGACCCCCCCGACCCTGGATCTGCTTTTAAAACAGCCTGGGGTGTTGGTTCCCCTCACCTTGAACTAGCACTCAAAGCCCAATTTGGGCAGCTATTGAGTCGGTCTAATAAAAGAGACCCCATCCCCTCAAAGATCTGGGCAGGACCAGGGTGTCCTCTCTCCCCCCACTTCAGGTCTAGGAAGGTCTGATTCCTCCCAGGACGTGTCCCGTCCCTGTTTGAATCTGGTGGGGCTGAATGACCCATGGGGTGAAAAAGAGAGGGGAGCGGGCAGAGCAATTGCCTCTTTGCGGGCACCGAGTGTGCAACAGGTGCCAATGCCCCCTTGGCGTGCCCTCCCCGGGCCATGCAGGCCCTGCAGCAGAGCTCGTGCTCCAGCCTGGGGGCTAGGACCTCCCCAGGTATGCTGTATTTAATAGGTATGCCCTATTAAAACAGCCTATGTGGGCTATAGGGTGTTTGTTCCCCCCAACCTTGAACTTGCAATCAGTGGCATGCAACAGCTGCAAGTGAACGAATGAGCACAGAGGGCAGATCTGGAGGAAGGAGAGACCCCATCCCACACTCCTACCCCAGGAGTCTGTAGGGTCGCACTGCCGCACAATATTGTCCCTGGGAGCGGGTCCTGAAGGATCTCACATCCACCGACCTGCCAGCTCCAAGGCTGGGAGACAACAATAATAGTATGTCCCACTGCCTCCATCACCCCTCCCTACAGAGCTACTCCAGCAGGGCCAGGCCATTACTGTATAATCACAGCAACCACAACTGAATTGAAACCAGGCCACCTGTTGAGGTGCTGAGTTTTTGCTTGTGAAAATGGGAACCAGAGGCTGTGCACAGACAGAGGTTTGCAGTGTGCCCGTGGCAGCACACGGGGGAATACTGCTCTACCCGGTCCCCTGGCTGGCATGCCACCATGTCTTCCAGGCCCGTGCACTGCAGAGTGAGGTGGCACGGTGGTAAAAACATATTGGTGCCGTGTCTACATTAGCGCTCTCTAATAATCCACCACCCAGAGCTATGTTCATGAGTGCAAATTTGGGCAAGGTTCAGAAAAAGCTGAGCGTAGACCAGGACTCAGAGATCCTCCTAGCAGATCGGGGGCAAAGTCAAGAATAAAGTCGGGGGCTTCCTGACTTTCCTGGCTTGCTCCTTTGGTTTGCTGGTGGCTCTGCGGACAGCCAGGTGTGAGACCCACCGCGGGGTCTGTCCTAATGTGTGTCGTGGCAGGTTTAGGCTTCTTAGGAAAGCAGAGTTGTACAGCAAACAGCTGTAGCTATTTTATTCCTCCCGTGTTGCCAACTCGGTGTTTTTCCCCGCAGGTTTTCCTTCCTGGTAACACTGCCAGGACAAGCGTGTGTTTGGTCAAAGGAAGAAAAACGGGAGGAGGCCCTCGATGTGACACCCCTGGCTTGTCTCTTCTGAAGGGCACCTCTTGGTTCAGGCCCCCGGGGAAGGCACCTGGGAGTGGGTGCCATCCCACTATTTCCTGTTGTAAATGATTTCCAGAGCACGTGTGAAACAATTAAACAAACTGAGGAGCAGACTCTGCTCAACGAGATCAAAGGAACAAACCCTACAGCATTGTTTTTCTGTTGTGCTTTTCCTTTGTTTCTCTTGCCTCTTTTGTCCTGGGGCTTTGCCTGGAAACCCGCCTCTTACTCAGGGGCTCAAACATGGATTTCAGGCTGAGCTTTTCTCAGGGATCCGGGTGGCCTCTGGAATCAGGGCTTGAATTCAAAATTCAAGCCTAGATGTATAACTTTAGGCCCCCACGTTTGAAAAAAAAGAAATAGCCTCTGCTTCTACCCTGAAAAATGCAGTTCAGATAAGCAAGGAGCCCCCTTTTGAAAAGCAGTGCAAGGATGAGATCAAAAGAACTGCAATCCAAAACTCACAGGCGTCCACAAGTCCAAACTCACGGATGTCCACACAGATGTGCACAGTGGGTTATAAACAGCCCAGGAGCAGGCCTCGGTACCAGCCTGGATTTGGCTTAGTTTTAAGCATGCAAATTGTAGCAGCGTTTGGCTCTTTCATAGGGATGGAGAGTGGAGGGTGCTAACCCAACGAAGCAGCCTAGTCGTAGCCATGGGCAGGTAGGATTGTACTGCAGCTCTTTTCTGAAGTTGCTCGGGTGTCCAAAAGCCCCACTCTCTCCCCCCCTTATACTCTGGTTTGCTCCGGTCACCGCAACAGGTATCAGAGTAAAGAAGGTCACAGGGCCTGGGGCTGCTCACACGCTGTGCACACCTCTGCACCTTAGCACCTTTGCTCAATACAAATACAGCAAGGATCTCCTTTGATCGTCTCCTATTTGACATCCCCAGACCCGTGCTGCAGCTTGCACAGGTTTGCAGCCCACAGGCTGCGATGCTCTGTAGTGTTCTCATTTCACAGGACTATAAATCAAGTCTGAATTGGCTTTGAGGGTTGAAGCGTGCTGTTTTGCCCTGGCACATCTGGAGCCCTCGGGGAGATGGCATTTCAGCCTGTTTTCCCCATCTCCTTGGTTTTATTTTTTTTCTTTTCTTTTTTTCAGTTAGCAGGGACCATCTCTGCTCTACCCGCTTGGAAATACCTATGTTATCTTTGCCTGGGCTTGTTTCCTGAGCAGAGAAAGCACTGCACGTTCAGCTTAGCTGTGTGCCTGCTTGGGTTATTTCTTCCAGAAACCTGCCATGAGAGACTACATAGGATGTTATGTGACTACTTCAGAAAAGTCAAGGGCCCTGGCTTTATCTTTAATTTCTCCTGGCCGGTCCCTTGTGCTCATCATCTCCATCTGTGACAGGCAGAAAACAAGTTTGTGAAGAACACCAAGGTCCTTAGCTGAAACAGGCCGTCTCTCTCCCTGGCAATGCCCCTTGATTTCTTTTAGGGTCATAATCCCCCGGTTAAGCCGCCAGCAGCCACTGGTGCTGGGTCTACTCTGCGGTCGAGGATCCCCACAAGAATCGGCACCCTGATGCCGGTGCAAGGATGGGTGAGGCTAAGAGACAGACCAGTCTAGGTACAAGCTGCTGCAAGGGGTCCCGGTGGGTCAGGGTTGATGCGAATTGGGCCACGGTCCCCCTTTCTCTATGAAAGACAAAGGTGGCGACAACAGAAGCTGTTCAGGTCAGGTCACCCCCATACTCCCCGTCCCCTGACCTTGTGGAAGCCCCTTCGAGAGACGGGCTTGGCCAGGTAAAAGAACGCGTAGAGTCCGAGTAGGAAATAGATCCGGGAATATTTCCACCCAGGGTCCCAGCCGTGGCAGAGAGCTTTCCGAATGCGGGCAGACGCTAAACGCAGCTTCGGGTGCATCAAATGCAAGGGACCTGATCCCGTCCCCACTGGAACGGGCTCAGTAGGGAATAGAATTGGATCCAGAATCCAGTGGGTCCCATTGGGTGCCTGCGGCAGTCGCTGCGTTCTCCGTGGAAGCCTTTCCAACCCCGCCAGTCATTACGATGAGAACTAACCTTCCTCGTCTGCTATCTAAGTGTGTCATTTTAACCCAGTGGAGACCTTGACTGCAAGGCACATCTCCCCAGCACAGCTTTTCAGTACAGAGCAACCTTTCATTTACTCATTTACTCAACCACTTCTCCTGAGGGCTGCAACCAATACCGATGTTGTTGTTTTAAGAAAAAAAAAAAGACATGCTCTTAAACACTACATGAAAATACTTTTATAATAAATTGAAAAAGTTGTGGGTGAATATAACAAAGCTCCAAAGAAAGTGTTTATTTGGAATGGTCTCTTGGGCTAAAGGAATGGGATTTTAGGTACGCTTTAACGTGACGCTTGTAAAACTGCTTTAATAGAAACACTGGCAAGTGTCCATACAAGTAGTTTTCTTTCAGAAGGAAGGAGAACCCCACATAATACCTTTAAACATTTTAATAAGTTAAAATTAAATGAGTGAAACCCTGGGAATTTTTTTTGTTACTGCAAGCTAGGAAAATGATGTGCACTAAGCAAAACTTAATACAAATATAAACAGGTAATGCACATCTGTAAATTATTTTCATGTCTCCAGGGGCTGGAAAAAAAAACCCCTAAGTGAGACCAGCCTTCTTATATATATTTTGCCTTGACAGCTCAGGAAAAAATTTGCCAAAACCAGAGTTAGAGCACTGGGCTGGCGTGGGAAAGTTGGTTTAGTGAGAAATCTGCCTCGGGCTATTTAAATAAAAACAGGCTTTTTTATGGCAAATGCCTGTTAAATACAACCAGCAGAGCTACCAGCCGCATGAGCAACGGGCATGTCTGTTTCTTCATGTCACTTCCATCTCTTTATCATCCCAATCCATGTTTTGCTCTTATATATACACAGGTCAAAAAAAAAAGTAGGAATGAAAAGACAGACATCAAACTGGGTTTTACTTGCTCTCTCGCAGTCATGCCTAGTCCTGCAGTCCTCTGCCCACTGTTTTTTGGAAACCACAAGCACCGCTGACCTGCAGCTATCGCTCTGACGATACATGCGCACACACTCACATATATAAAAGCAATGTAAGTTGTTAAGCAAGAATTAAAGTGAGTAGGTCATCCCGGAAAGTCTGAGCTGATAAAAATACTGCAGCCAGTTATAGAGAAGCTGCCGATGTGAAACGATCTGAGCCA